TTAGAAGGACTTGGATGAAAACTTTTTTAGTTTTTGGCCCCTCCAGCAGAATCCATGTAGCTCCGCCACCGATAGGGACTAGAACAATCTCATCAAAGATGGTGGAAACGCAAGTTAAAGAAGAACAGTTAATGGATTGGATCATCACAACCTTAGGGAGGAGCTCCATTTGCTTGCTTGCAACCTCTTCCTTTACGCTGTGTTTAGATGTCTGTATTGAAGGCCTCCGTATTGAATTGGTTTCATTTCCAATTCAGCCATGAAACTGTAGTGGACATGAATACGAATTCGGTTTCATTTCCAATCTTTTTCCATGTTTTAAAAAAAACCAACGCCTCTCATATAGCAGGCACCAGGGCTACCCCTGCGCCAGCCACTTGCCAGAGACGTCGCTGCTCCGTTCTCTACGTTGTAGTACCACAAGTTGGTGCGAATCAACCTGTGGTTGAGTTGGTTAGGTGGACAGTGGCATCCTCAACCCACCAGGATTCAAATCCTGGTGCTCGCATTATTCCTGGATTTTCCTGGTGCTCGCATTATTCCTGGATTTATTTCAGAATTTCCGACGATGCACTTTCAGTGGGAGGAGGCGTTCCCGTCGACGACGAGGCGTCTACGTGACTTCGTAAATCTCAAAATGATATGCCGGCTCAATCTCTCGGAGGTGCTCATAGGGATAGGGTGTGCGTGTATGCGTTCATAGGAGTGAATGTATGCGCGTGTATATAAGCGCTTGTGTCTGTATTGATGCTAAAAAAAAAGTACCACAAGTTGGTGCCACGATTCACGTTCGGTACCTGTCGCAACGCCCGATCCGGGCCAAAGAGATACGGGAGCTTTGCTGCCAGAAAGAAGGCGAAAGGCAGCCCGGACATTTCCGGACCTGCATGCACACTGTCGTCAGTCAGTTAACTACTAGCTCTGTCAAGTTCAGCCAAGTGGCGCCCATTGTTTTTGTTGCTGCCCGCCTTTTTCAGGTAAATCATCCATGGAATGATCGCCAAAAGGCGCTTCCTGCTCCCTTCCCTTTTTGATCTTCTGCCCTAGAAAAGAAGAGAATAAGCCGGAGAGCTGGCGACGTCGATCTTGCCAAAGAAACGAGCTCGCGGACAGATCGAGGCGCCGCAAGACGGCTGTGCAGTGCAGCTGGAGGCACGGACGCAACTGCCCATTTCTCTAAAAACCATCTGTTCTGTTCATCTCTTTGACTTCAGAATTTACAGTTTGAGCAGGAACCTCCCCCTTACAGCGCATATGTGCACGCACGTGGCAGGCCACGAGCCATGTATCACCTTATATAATTAATCTCTTTCCACTTACTTAACCTACCCCCAACGAAAGAAGAAAGAAAACAAAGCTGGCGTATTTGACACGTAAAAACTAAACAGGCCAGAAAGAATGTAAAGAAAAAAGAAGAAGAAGAAGAAGAAGAAGAAGAAAGAACTTTTCGAATCGACAGAAATTCCCAACATGTATCTATCTATCTGGCCGTGAGAGCAGCCGTGGCGGCGTCCGGCCTGGACATGATCCTGGTGTAGAGCAAGCTGTTCCAGATGTCGGGCACGCCGGGGAGGCACCAGTGGATGCAGTCGGCGTAGGTGCCGGGGTCGGCCTGCTGCTCCGGCGTGAGGATCTGGCCCTGCCGGATGGTGTGCACGGAGGTGTGCCCGTCCTTGCGCCGCTCCGACATGGTGGTGATGTCCACGAAGGTGATGGGCACCCGCGGCGCCGCCGCCCGGGTGATGTTGGACGCCACCTTGAACATGTCCCAGTCCGTGCCCAGCCATATCGGCCCGCGCCAGTTCACCAGCGGCATCGTCTCCTTCGCGCACCGGATCCCGTTAGGGTTTCCCCACACCTGCGGGCTGTTTTTCACACCCAAAAAAAGCCCCAGTCAATTTCCAACAGAGTTATAGAACCAGTTAATAATCATAGTACTAGAACTTGATACGGATTCGCAGCATGAGTCGATCACGCAACCCAACTACTCTAATCCAGTTCTGTGATTCTATCTTCACGTAAAATAGTGTTGTTGACCAACTTTAGCTGTGTACGTCTTTTGATGCGACATGCCTCCAACTCCAAGCTAGCCAGAGACTTCATCAACTCGCTCGATCGTGGACGCAATCCCGATTGAAAATACTTAACAACTTCGGGATTGCTGAACACGCAAAATAACGTGGCATAGCTAGTAGCCTCTGAAGCTGATTGGTTTGCTCATGCATTCACCGGTCGCCATGGCAGTTTCTCCGGTTGCACCATATCTTCTCACACACTACCACTACTAAATAGGATCGCTGACTATATAAAAACACCAAGGCAAATCAAAGTGGTTTGCTTCACGGGAACTAAACATATAGGAGTATCCATCAATCTCAGGATGGGGTCACGCTGCTTTTCTAAAAGGTTTAGGGGAGCTTTCGTGAGGCGTCATCCCAGGGCCATGTCCACCGCACGTCCTTATCAAGCCACTCCGGTAGTCGCTAGGTAACCAACACAACACAACACAACCGTCTGTTTGATCCTTATAGCCAGGAATAATTGGATTACCACGCAGAAGGAAAACCCCAAAACGCTGCTGGAACTACCCGCATCCGGCTACTTGTCCTAAAAAATGCGTCGTCCGTTCCAAGATCCGAAACTCGCGGTCACGGGACGATCACTCGGAACCTGCTCGGAACGATCATTGGCAGGGGCGTCCAAGACTATTCCACGTCCCACGAAGCACCAACACGGCCGGTTACGAGCACACGAGACCAGTAGTACGTCGCTGGCGCATGGAATGCATGATTGGTGCACCATGTACGGGGCCGGGACTCGTTCGCGACGACGGAAGCTTCCGTCTAGGATTCATGTGCGCGGAATGATTCGAGCCGAGGCCGAGGGTCCATGTGATTGACAGGTACGCAGAATTATACTACATGGTCATACCCATGCATGTACATGTATGTATAATGTATCCTTCCTAGGGTCCTATCGAGTACGTAATTCTCCATTATTAATTTCTGAGAGTGCTGCTTGGGCGACAACGAGAGGGGAGCAACTACCCCGCTCCATTGGAGGAGCATCTTCTCCTTGGACTTTTGTAAAGGAGTTTACCAAGTCCGCTTGTGTGCTGCGAGTTGTGACGCACGTCGATCGTTTTGACCGCGTAGATTCCACCCCAAGTGGCATCTAAAAAGACGTGTACGTACACGATTTGCGCATATTGTACTGCTCCCTGCAGTGCTGGTCACGACATGCATACCGAGCTACCGTGGTTTACAGGAGTACTACGTATATTTAGTCCGCATATTAGCCTTGGTCAAAGTCAAACTTTGTAAGTTTTGACTAAGTTTATAAACAAAAATATTAATATATACAATAAAAAATCAATACCAGTAGATCCATTATTGAATGTACTTTCACATCATATATATTTGTTATGGCAAATGTTTATATATTTTTTTATAAACTTGGTCAAACTTTGCAAAGTTTGACTTCAGTCAAACCTAATATACAGACTAAATAAAAACAGAGGGAGTACTCTAGTACTAGTATACTCCGTTGGCGATCCCAATGGAGTAGGGACTATTTGAAAACTCCGGTGGCAGTGGCATTATGCATGCACCTTACTGGTGGGGTGGCATTCCTTGTGACTGTAGATTAGACGGTTAGTGCATGTACCCTGTGCTTACTTTATTCTACTAGCATTAGCATATAGCACCACGCTGTTTGGAATATCAAACCATGCATGTGTAAACTAATGGCGCAGTACGTATATCCTAACATGTTCAAAAAAAAAGTACGTATATCCTAACTGGCTCACTAAACTACACGTACAACGGTATCCGTTACACCAACTACTAGTACAAGAGTATGCTACCACATCCACATGCGTACAGAGAGGGTCAACGAGCGGGTGGGCAACGTGAGGCCATGTGTTCCATTCCATCCAGTACGTACATGCTCTGCTAGTCGCACCGCACCTAGAGAATGCTGCACGACCCGGCCGGCTGCTCCGTCGACGGGATATATACCGCGCCATCACCCCAAAAAAACAGAAGCCTACTTTTTTTGCAACTAAAAATAAAAACCTGCTGGTACTTCCACGTCGCCTGGGAATATTCAAGCGAGCACGCCGCCGGACCGGGTCTGCCACGACTGTCTGTCGCTTCCATTTTCTCCCAAGACGGCGACCGACCCGCTCGACGCGACGCGCCCGCCCGACTCGTTCCAACTTCCAATCCCGCGCGCGCGCGCGCCGTCCGGCCCCGGAAACCGCACTAGACCACCAGCCCGTGCGCGTCTGCACTTCCCGGCCGCGGCCCGACGCGTGCACCGGTGCAGACACCCGGTACGCACCACGCGCTGCCGGCCTCGTCTTTTTGGCCGTCGCCGCCATGCGCGCGTGTCGAGATTTCGGCGTTTCCTAGGAACTACGGTGCAGGTGCGCGTAGGTGTGCGTACTGACTACCACCAGAAGAACAAAAACGACTTATCTACAGTGGAACAGAATAGAAAACTACTACGGGGGTAGGCAGGGTAGGGTACGGTACCTGAGGTGAAGAGGGGACATGCTCATGAAGAAGACGGACGTGCGCGCCGGGTCGATGTTGTCGTTCACCCAGCCGGCCCAGGTGCTGAGAACCTTCCGGTACGCCTCGATCCTCACCACCTCCTCATGGTCCTCCCAGTCCCGCCCGCCCGGCCTCCTGCCAATCCATCCATCAGCCAACCTCCATGTCAGTCCATCAGTGTCACCGCAGCGCATGCAGTTTTACCACCACTTCGACCGTGCATGCCCCGGCGATCGACGCACGAGACGGCACGGCATGTTCTCGATCGTGTTGTGTTGTGCACGTAGACGTACTTGAGTTTCATGTTGAGGGTGTTCATCCACCAGATGTAGGTGTTGAAGACGAGGTAGTCGGCGTTGCGCCAGTTCTGGGCGTGCGCCGCGATGGCCCCCGCGTCGATGATCCGGGTCGGGATGCTGTGGATCTTGGGGTTGTCCGAGTTGGACTCCACCAGGAACGGCGACCAGTAGAACTCCACCGTCGCGTTGAACTCCTGTTGTCGATAAGAAATGGACGTTATTTGACATGATCACAAGAAGGCGCAAGAAGACACCCTATACCGATGGAATACGTACGTCGTCGTAGTACAAGTAGTTGGTGCGCTTGCTAAGCCGCCACCTACGGCTACGGTACAGGTACTACTACGTACGACGTCACATTTGAAAAACCGTTGCGGCAGCCGTGGGCCCTGCTGGTTGGCCAACTGGCTGGCTAAGGTTCCTTCTCCATCGTAGGGGGCACGAACCGGCCGGTCGAGAGAGAGAGAGAGAGAGAGAGAGAGAGAGATGCTGCCGGGACGGCCATTGTTTTGTGCTACTCACCCAGGCGTGGAAGACGACCCGCTGGTCCTCCCAGGTGACGTACTTCTTGTCCGGCGACACGGCCGACTGCACCAGGCACACCATCGACTCCCACTGGTTCCGGTTCAGCGAGTCCCCCACGAACATGAACCGCTTGTTCCGGAGCCTCTCCATGAAAACCTTCGCGTCGAACCTGCAGTTTCAACAAGCTCGCCGCCTGAGCATGCATGCGCGTCCAACCCAATTTCGGGCATGCATGGCGATCGCCGGCGTGATCGGGTAGTCGTCGCCGGAACGAGCGACGAGCGGAAACGCACCTGGGCATGTCGCAGTCCTTGGGCTGCCACCGCCACTTCTGGTAGTTGTCGTCGCGGCGGCCGTTCTTCATGCACGTCACCTGCGACGTCAGGAACGAGCACTCCTCCTCGCGGTACAGCGGGTAGCTCGCGTTGTCGAACACCCACTCGCCCTTGGACAGGTCGCACGTCTCCGGCGACCCCAGCACGGCCCCCGCCGCCACCGTCTTCCTCGCCGGCCGCAGCCGCCTCGGCCTCTTCGCTTTCTTCGGCTTCTTCACCTTGGGGGCGGTGACCTTCCGGATCGCCTGCTCGGGCGCCGTCTCTGTCTTCGCCGCGGCGTGCCCCGGCCTCTCTCTTCCGTCGTCGCGCGGCAGCGCCACGGGGACGGGCCTCTCCGGAGAAGCGATCACGTCGCGCCGGGGGGCGACGGTCTTCTTCCCCGTGGAGGAAGAAGAGAGCACGTCCCGCCGCGGGGTGGCGGCGGCGCGGCCGGCGTCCGAGACGACGACCGCCTGCTGCCTGACGGGCCCGACGCCGCGGGCAAACGGCTCGAGGGTGACGGACCGGATGTCCTCGCCGTACATGACGATGACGAAGACGACGAAGAAGACGCCCGCCACGTACACTGGCAGCCGCCCGCCCTTGCGCGGCGCGCCGTGCTTCGCGCCGAGCGTGTCGAACGGCCCGGCGCCCGCACCCCCGCCGGCGCCGGCCAGCGACGACTTGCGGCGGCCGGGGAGTGACATGGCGCCCGCGTGCAGCTTCGGTCGCTTCGCTGGGCCCTCCCTCCTTCCTCTTGCCTCCTGGTACGTGGTACGTGGGTCGTCTGATGGAGTGATGGTGCGTGCCGCGGAGAGGGGGAGAGCGCGGGCTAGCCGGCTAGAGAGAGAGGGTGGCTTTACTTATGGGCGAACGGGGTTGAGTCAGAGCCGGGGGGCTGTGGATTTGGTGAGGGGATGAAGCCACCATGGCCTCTTTTCTTCTCTCTTTTTTGCCGTTGAACGAGCAAGCAATCGGTTTTCATTGGGCGAGTGGCTGGATTGTCGAGAGCGATTTTATTCTCTGCCAATTTCTAATGGCCGGAGACTCGGCCAGACGAGACGGACGGGGGCATGGAAAAACGTGGTGCAGCACGTCAGTGATGGGCTAGGCCAGACTAAATTAACCAAGGCCACCCCACTGGAGGAACACTTGTTCTTCCAAAAAGAAAGAAAAAAATGCAAGGCAAAACGTAGTTACCATGTGCATCCAACGATGTGTTTTGTCCCTGCAGTCAACGCCATATGGCTTATCGACATTCTGAAGGGAACGGGGATCAGGAACATGCGCACGCGTTGCGAAATGACGTTCGAGATGAAGCAGTTGGCCTTTTATTCGTAGTTCGTGGTATCTCCGGTGCACATTGTTTTTGTCCGGGAGAACAATGACGTGTGTGCAGAGTTCTGGCAAGCTATCCTTCCTGCCACGATGATATGCTAACTACCCGTTTGAGACTTCTAGAACTGGAGAACTTTTGCAGCGACGTGACTAACCATTACTTCAACATTATGATGAATATCATAAGAGCCCATGGTGGCTTTCACTCGCTTCTAAATGGAAATACACACGTACCTGCCATTTCTCCTTCATCAACACGTATGCTTCCAATTTGTTCCCCGAGTTGCGGACAAAGGAGTTCAAATATGCAATATTTGGTAACATTTTGTACTGCTTCGGGTGTAGTACAAGGAGCATTCTATATATCCCGCGAAAAAGGGTGTATTCTATATGCGTGAAACAAAAAGGAGCGTACAACCATCCTTGCCCGCTCGAGAAAAAAAAAAACTTCTATGTGATTTGCACCATACAAGCTCGTAGTCAGTTTTCACTCAATCGCATCATCCGTCACAAGAAAACATTATTATTTGTGAATGCAAGTCGTTCATGTCGTTCTTATGGAGCTTGCAACATCAGATGAAACCTAGCCACCGCCGCTACTATCGTCTCCTCCCATCATATCAATTAAATAGATAGTCGGGAGTGATGAGAGGGGGAGGGGGGGTTCTTTTCTCGCGCGGAGAGGAGGCCTCCGACTATGGCAATGTGACGACCATGGACAATGGAAAAAACAGAGCCCAAACACCAGATTGACTTCTGAAGGGAACATAGATCAGCAACATGCACACGTGTTGCGAAATGACGTTTAAGATGAACCAGCCGGCCCATCATATTTCCAGTGTCCTTTATTTTGGTCTGGGGGTACAAGTACAATGACGTCTGTGTAGAGTTCTAGCAAGCTATCCTTCTTGCTAATATGCTAACTACTACCGGTCTGAGCCTTCTGGAACTGAAGAACTTTGCAGCGACGTGACTAACCATGACTTCAACATTATGAATATCATAATCATGGTGGGCTTTCACTCACTTCTAAATGGAAATACACACCTGCCATTTTTTCTTCATGAACACACATGCTTCCAAATTGTTCCCTGAGTTGCATGCAAACGGGTTCAAATATGCAATATTTGGTAAAATTTTGCACTCCTCTGGGTGTAGTACAAGGAGCATTCTATATATATATCCTGCAAAAAAGGAGCATTATTATACCTGAAAGAAAAAGGAGCATTCCACATGGTGATTTTGAATATATTTCCCTTTTTTTAATCATGAGATACCACTATCCTTGCCTGCCGAGGGAATTTTTTTGGGGTGTGATTTGCATCACTCATTCACCTCATCCGCAACAAGAAAATATTATTATTTGTGAATGCAACTCATTCGCGTCATTCTTAGGGAAGCTTTGGGATGAAAGGTGAAACCTAGCCACCGCCGCTACTATCGTCTCCTCCCACCATATTCCTCTCCCCGTCATCAGATGATGCTACCGGGTAAAGCCTACTAAATAGATGGTCGAGAGGGTTGCGGAGGGGGAGGGGGTTCTTTTCTCGCACAGAGAGGGGGCCTCTCACTATGGCAATGTGACAACCATGGGCGATGGAAAAACAGAGCTCAAACACTAGGGTGATGACCCCCGAAATCCGGCAATGGTGGACATGTCAGTGTAGTTGTGGGGAACTGCGACGATTGATCGAGTCGGTGGAAATCCATCGTCCATCGTGACACTGTCACCGACACGCACGGCTCCCTCCGTTTGTAGGAGCAGTGGCGAGCGTTGCCATGCTGCTTGACCATGATCCGTCTTGGTTAGTGGCAGCTTTTTGTAGGAGATGTCTCATCATCGACTTCCCGTTAGCTCGGCCTTTGTCACCGCCACATTATGACACTTCTCCATTAGAGGCAAACAGGTAGGTGGCTCTCTTACTATATGTGTTCTCATGGTGAAGCTTATGTGCTATCATCCCGTGACGCCCCAAGACCGGAGCTTCAGATGCCTTTCAGGGTTTCCGGGTTTCGTCTTGTGATTTGTTTGGTTCTTTGCATTCATCATTGCATCATGTGCATTGCAGCATGCCATCATGTCATTTCTTTTCTTAACCCATCTAAATAAATGGCATGGATCTTTGATCCATTTCAATCGAGGGAATTCACTTGTGATTTCTCTTTATAACATATTAAAGCCTCTCAATACTATTAGGGAGCTATGATAAAAATTATTCCATTTATTTGGAATTAACCATAACACACTTGCAAATATCCCATGCCTTTTTCCTTCTCAACTCTTGGTCTCTAACTTTGTCATATTTTTCTTTCATCATTTTCCGGAGCTCCACCAAAATCCGAACATTTTTGGACACCTCTATTTCCCAGCCCTTGTTCAAATCATCTGAATTAAATTCAAATGACTTTGAATTAAATCCTTGCAATCATGCCTCCCCTATTTTTCGTGGACCGTGCACATTTTTACGAGTCCGTGAAAATTATCCATATGTCCAACTTTTTCCCCTAACCTCTCTTTCTTTTCTTTCATATCTCTGTTTTGTTTTTTTCTTTTGTTCTTTAGAGTGAGAGAGAGAGAGAGAGTCAGCCCAGCAGACCTTGCAGCTGGTCGCCGCCCGTTTGTCGCGCGTTGCTGCCCTGTTTCACTCGCTGCTTCCTGCTGCATTCTTAGACACACGCGCCCATGTTGACTCGGGTGAGTCCAGCACCCTGACTCGACGCTGCTCTGGCCGCAACCACCTCGGGCCTTCAACCACGACGCCCGCCATGGCCCTCCTCGCACTGCTGCTCCTTGGTTTCTGTCGCGACCATCTCCTCCCCCAATGCCCTTGCAGAGGCTGTTGCTGCAGGACCACCACGACACCATCTCCGGAGCCCAAGTCCGAGGACTAACGCGTTCGGGTAACTCGTCAAGTACATCTTCGTCAAGATTGATGCTTGGATAAGCACCGTTTGCGTGGATTACGTCAAGTACCACGACGACCGTCGAGACCGCCAAGTTCTACTACCGATGAACGCTTTGAAATCGCCAAGACCTGCAAGTCCACCAAGACCTCGACCACAGTACATGTACGGCTACAACGTGAACGAGTACCACGACGACCCTCGGAGTCCTCGGATCTGTCAAGTTCCACTATGAGATGTACAACTACCTGTTGGGGAACGTAGTAATTTTAAAAAAATTCTTACGCACACGCAAGATCATGTGATGCATAGCAACGAGAGGGGGAGTATGATCTACATACCTAGTAGATCGACAACGGAAGCGTTTGGTTGATGTAGTCGTACGTCTTCATGATCCGACCGATCAAGCACCGAAACTACGACACCTCCGAGTTCTAGCACACGTTCAGCTCGATGACGATCCCCGGACTCCGATCCAGCAAAGTGTCGGGGAAGAGTTCCGTCAGCACGACGGCGTGGTGACGATCTTGACGTACTACAGCTGCAGGGCTTCGCCTAAACACCGCTACAATATTATCGAGGACTATGGTGGCTGGGGGCGCCGCACACGGCTAAGGAATAGATCACGTGGATCAACTTGTGTCTCTCTGGGTGCTCCTGCCTCCGTATATAAAGGACTAGAGGGGGGAGGCTGGCCGGCCAAGGAGGGCGCGCCAAGAG